ATTGTTACTAATAAACGTTTATTCGATTGAATTTATTGATTATTACACATTGAATTTATTGATTTACTGTATCGAATCCATATTACTTATCTGTTTTATCACTTGTGAGGCACTTTTCTCAATTCGGTCCTGGATTTAACATGACGGATGCTCACGTGATCCGGAAAAGGAGATCAAAGGTGCCGACACGAAGTGGACCTACTGGTTATACTGTGTCTTAAGTCTCATTGAAGATGCCGCTTAACATGAGTTACCTGGCATAATTATAATACTTTCTTCAATTTTCAAGCAATACATTTGTTGACGTATTTAAAGCTTTATAGAATATACATATATTAAATCTCGATTCTCCGCTTCATTTACAGGAGGCATACATGCACCGCAGATGTCAGGACAGGATACGCACTTATCTTTACAAGACGATCGAGCAGATTAAGTGCTCGGACGTGTTCGTGAACGATTACAGGGCGCGGCAGCAGCTTCTGCGCACGATAACGTTCTTCAAACTTCAGCTCAAGCAGGATCACTACTTCGGCTATTATTTTGACAGGAGCAAAGCGGAGACCGATTCCAAAAGCGACAGTGACGAGACCGATTACGGCCGATGTTACGAGCACTGTCCCTGCAATTTCGGCCGCATTAGCGACGAGACGTATTTCCGCCAACGGTATCTCCGTTTGCCGCAGTCGTCGGACACGACCGTCGATTCGGACAAGATCGACGAGACGGACGCGAGGAAGTGCCGCGAGTCCGAGAAGAGCGCGAAAACGACGGCGAACGACGAGAAAGCGGAGAGCTGCCCTTATCACGTGATAATGCGAAAGAAGCAAATCGCTATTTGCGACAAGAGGGGCGAGTTCAAATGCGAGGGAAGGTGGAACACCGACGGCTGCCCCTACGGCGACAGGCACAAGATCAATCCGTACAGATCCAAGGAGGAGCTCGCCTTATTCTCCACATGGAATTTGGATCACAAGTAAGACAATGGTTACAATATTTGTTCCTTAATTAACGTGACTCTCGCTTCTAACGCCGGATAACTTCAGAAAACCGCGGGCTATCTTGCACCGCGTGGAAATTCCTACGATAATTAAAAAATCCAGTTCTTAATTAACGTGACTCACCTCTAACGCCAGATAACTTATTCGGAAAATCGTTGCCGCCTACCCTACTGGCACGCGTGGAAGTTCCTGCGCGATAATTTAAAAATCCGGAGCAATTTTATTTATTTGATAGCGCAATACCAATATCTGGCGCGCAATAATCGGCGAAACTTGATTACTTTTTATATATCCGTTGCGTTCGTCCCAGTATTGTACACATGGCGAACAATTTATTTATTTTACAATAAATATAAATTTGATAAACGTAAAAGCCGTTCAGGGTGAGTTTATTTAATTGCTGGAAAGAAGTTAATAGAGAGAGAATCATAGAAATCGATTTTTCGTTATTTGCAGAATCGAAAGGTCCAGGACGCTCATTCCGACGCTGCTGCAGCTCTCGCGACAGGAGACGATCAATGAACAGGACATCTACGACTGTTACGACAATCTGTTTACCGTGAAGAATTTAAGACTGGTCCATGTCGTGTGCCACGATAAAGGCTCGCATAAATAAGCGCTAGTTCTGGGAGGGAGGGTTATAGATTCGGCACGCATACATTACGCTTCTGAAAAGTATTTGATCGTATACGTGAGTGCCAAAAAGTAATCGCACACGTGAATGAGATGATGCATCCGGATACGTAATACGTATGTAGGGTACGCGTGATCTCCTTAAGACACAGATCTCTACAAAAATAAGTATATTTAATACGTTTAAGCGCTGTTGATAGAATATAGATTTAGCGATTATTAATGTTACACTATCGGGCGTGTTTCCATTGCGGCATGAAGTAACGAGCAATAACATTAATAATAAAAATGTCCGTTCCGAAGTTCGAAACACCTGAATTTACATCGATTCTGTTTGCGATGGATAGAAAATTCAGTTTTAAATAATAACTGACCTGTTAACGGCATACGGAGTTTGATTCCGATGATTATTTTACAATACGAGACGTTGACTAGAACAAAGTCGAATAATATAAAAATTATTGTAAGTATTGTAATTATGCGCACCTTAAATATTATTTAATGGACGTCAATTTTTCGATAAAAGATTTCAAAATATATAATTATAAAGGAAAAGAGTTTCGCATATTCCGCATATACACATGACTGTATAAATAAAAATAACGGTGGGGATTTATACAGATACTCTTATATCTTAATTATACAATTATCTTAATTATCGCAAATTCTCACGAAATGACTGTGGCTATGAATTCCAAGATGATTTCCTTCGTCACTCTGTTTCTGTCGGTACAATTACGTAACGATTGTTTTGTTCAAGGAAACCATTTCTAAAAATCAATTACGAATACAGGGTTGTATAAGTCGCACGCAATGGAAGAACCGTAATTTATTCCAGCGGCTATACAGATTATCAAAGAGAAAAGTTGTTGTTTCAGATATGTCGTTAAGCATTGAGTATGTTCAGTGCTTGTAGGTAAAAATCTACTAACGAGGGGACAGCTCTCCGTCAGAATCATGTTAGATCGGAAACGAGCCGGCACCTCCGTCAGAATTATCTCGGATCAACTTATGTTAATTCCTGACCTGATTTGACTCTGATGAAGAACCGAAGCTCGACTTGCGCGACTTTGCGAACTGTGAAGTAGATTATCTTTCAGACATATTTTTATTCTGACTGCTCGATAAGAGACAAAACAAAGTTCTGATATATACATATATAAATATATATTATATTTAGAGAAAGATACATATATATACGATATATTTATTCCTATATAGATACAGGGCGCACTTTCCACAATTTCCGCGATTCCATTCGTATCTATATATCAATTCTTCATTAACTTAAAATTGTTAAATTATTTTTTTTTAACAAAACATTGGAGAAAATTAATTTTTAATATCTTTCTATATAAATATTTTTATAATTATAAATCAAAATTTTATTGAAGAAGGAGAAAGTGAAGTTCGATATAAATTTAAACAAAGGATAAAATCTTGTTAACTTGTTTCGCCTTTATTCGTGAAAATCGTGAAATTCGTGAAAATGCCTGTTTTCATCTGCTTAATTAAAATATTATTGATACCATATCTTCGTTAAAATAATTAAGATTAATAATACAAAAAATTCAATTTAAAAGTGTCGCTAAAAAGGAAGTGCGGAAATTCTGAGAGGTATATATATATATCCTTTTGTATGTACTGTATTGAATGATGTTTTAGAAATTTTCACCATATACAAAATGGGTACATCTCCGACATCTAACTACAAAAATTGCACAAAAGTACTTAACGTCAGTAATTTTTCTTTCTTCGAATTACTACTTTATTTGTGTTTCGTATTGTGCGATGTTTTGTTAAATTGTAAATATACGTATAACTGCGAGTCTCGAAAGTTAAGAACGCGTGTCATCGTTGTGAATAGACTGATGTTCTAAAATTATCAAATATAACGCAACAATGTACTTTTATATTTTATACGATGTTATCAGTTCGATTTATTATTATGCTAAAGCACTTTTTGATTATATATTTATTTATATTGCACAACGCTGAGCTGTGAGAAATATGTATATTATTGATATGATTATCGCATCGAATGATCGAGTATTGTTCCTAATTTAATCAAAGGATGTGATTGCTTCGCATATATGTTTGTATGTTGTGTGTACACTGGGTATTATTGTCTACAGGGTGCAGAATTGTAGAGGCAATTGTTATAGCTTTGACCAATGTAAGTCTGACTCCTCTGAGTAGACTTCTGCCATTCATATCGCTTCCGATGTTTAACAAGTATTATAGTATATTACGGTAGACGCATCAGCAAATTAGTTAAATTAAAGTTATTTATTTTTAGATCATTTCTAAATAAATGTATATTTTGTATGACGAAATTTTTAAGTAATCGACGAAACCAATACTAATTCCAATAAATAATTAATTTAAGTTATATGATAACTTAAAAAAATTGGTCGCGTATAATGTTTTACAAAAATAAAATTAAATAAAAGGTAAAACATAATTTAATTATTTTAAACGATTAAATTTTGTTAGCAAACTATACTTAATTTTTTATTATTGTTTTATGTACATTACATAAATAAATAAATTTGTTCACTGGTGCGTCTATCCTCTATAAAGTTGCGATAATATGCAGAGTTAAATATAAAAACGGAGCAGAATTAATCTCGTTGCTATTGAAAATACGAAAGACATTTTTTTATAGTTAAGTTTAAGTTAAAAAAAAATCTAGAATATTGTATTTTACATTTATTTTTCAATTATTTTTTAAACATATTCAGTACATTTTTCATAGTATATTTTTGATAGCAACGTGAATTTTTCGATTATTCGTTTAAACGCTTTATTCTGCATAAACATATTTTGACTGATTTATTATACTTACATACTACAGATTATCTCTTTAATCTGAAGCTAGGAGCTTAAATGACCGTTGCAACATAATTAATTGTGCGCAACTATATTTGCGAATTTTATTTCTTTGTTAATTGTTGATGATGAAAGACGACTATGCTAAAAGAGTATAACTCTTTAATTATATTATTAATTTTGTGTTAGTGTTAATTAACGATGTTGACGATAAAATACTCGATACGATAAAACTTATATACTAATACTGTTCTAAATTTCTGATTATTGAAATTATTTTATATAATGGTATTTTAATAAAAAAATCGGTTTTACAAATTATATGCAAGTACACACAGTAACGTAAAATAAAAATACCAAATGTGGATTACATTATTAACATAAAATATATTTTATAAAGAATAATAATACGAAAACTATTTAACGTTACAGAGCTAGCTCGAGTGAGTTTATTAATATATCCTGGTTATTTTATTGTTATACATTACAAATTACTTTTTAAAAATATTTTTAATGTATAATTATATAATATTCTAGAAAATTTGATAGGTGTTAATATTTATGTTTTAATGTTCTCATCATTAATCGCGTTAATTGCTGTTTGGAATTTATAACATCTTATAATTTGACATATTTTTAATGACAGAAAATAATGAAAACTAGATTTCTATGTAGATTCTCATATAATTTTGCAACACATTTCATACATGAATTTTTTTAGATGCAAATTTGTCATTTTTTAATATTTTTCTGGTATTTGATATTTTTTAGAATTTCATATATATTTTATCTATATACATATAAAATCTAATATGTATATATATATATATATATATATACATGAATGAAAGAACGATTTCAAATAAATAAATATTCAGCAGTTAAATTAAAAAAACAAATGTTTTATAAAATAAAATGTAAATGGTGTGACTACTCCATATTTGGTATTTTCTCTCTATATATTTTTCATCGCTTTTATTGGATGAAGTATTCGTAGGCAATTTGAGTGACCTGTTGTTTTCGATAAATTTTTAATCGACTGGGTCAATGCAGTTCAGCAAAGGTTTGTTCGTTACATGATGTACATATCGATGAAAATTGATGTTATTAAAAGTCAAGTTTGTCAAGAATTATATTTTCTTAAAAAGAATTTCAAAATTTATCGCTAAATTTCTCTTTTTCTCTTTGAAATAGAAATATTTCATCGAAAACAATTAAAAAAATTTTTATATATCCGTATACGAGACGATTGATAAATCTATAATAATTTTGTTTTGTGGACTGTTAAAAAGTTAAAATTATAAAGCGGCATGTTAAATGTTAATTAATGTTTAGCATATATAATCAAAGCTTATCTGGAATATATTTAAGAGGAACAACGCTCTTGAAATAGTGATTAGATATCGATTTCCTGCCAACTCTTATTAACCATCAGAGATCTATGTAGCTCGGAAATACACGTGTGAGAGACAGGTTAAATGTTAAAAATATTTTGATGTGTTTAAAGCGATTATTAAAGATTATTAAAAAAAAAGAGGGAAAAAGAAAGGATATTTTGCTGCGCGCACTTCACAAAATTGTTATTCCAAAACTTATGCGTCTGCGAAATAATTTTTTAATTTCTGTTAAAAAATGATAGCAAAAATTTCATTTTTAGCGTGATGTAAAAATTTATTTTTAAAGGAAGGGGAAGGAAAAAAGATTTCCATTTCGTCATGATATATCGATATAATGTGTACATTGTGGAGTAATCGGAAACTATATAGAAGTGCAATACTTCTATACATATATATATATATATATATATATATGTAGGTTACGTGTAAATATAGTATTTTTCAATGTACAAGAGAGAACTACATATTTTACTTTAGAAAAATATATTTTAGGTACAAGACACACAGCAGAGTTTCATTTTCATTTCCACTCCAAATAATAATACATCGACTTTGCAAAATTATTGGAATAAATTAATAAGTTAATAAATTATTAATTTAATAAATTATTAAGTTTAATGACATATATATTTCTTGCAGAATTGAAATCTTAACTTCTATTAACGTTAAGTCACACTTATATGACACAGTTTATATCATATGTATTACATATAAAAATGCGAAGATTTTTATCTGTCATCTCACGGAGCATCGCGCACAAAATATGATACGTGATTTCCGAGCCATTTTGTGTCGGAAAAGATGTCGTAAAAAGTTTATGGATACGTCGAATGCTATCCCTAGGCGGTATCCGATCGGAGGAATTTAAACGCTATTTTTTTTAGTCGAGAAACGTGCTATCAAAATCACGGGCGGATGTAGGTCAATAGAACAACAAAACGGATTTCAAAATAGGGAAAAATTTATGACTTTTAATATTATCGGCCATTTCAACGACACACTCACTTTGCCAATGGCTATAATTCTGTTTCTTAAATTCGTGACTTCTCTTTCAGTTAATCAACTTAGGTCATATTGTGTGATAAATTTTACATATTAAACTAATCCAATTGTTAGTTTTTTTAACAGATTAGAAAATTAGAAAAAAGTAATATATAAAAATAATTATCACATAATATATTTAAATTGTCATAGCGGAACATTTAAATTTTCTTCCAATTCGTTTATACGATGAAATGCCGTCTGATATGAATAAAATAGAATTAAAATGAAATTAAAAAAATAGGAACGAAAAATTGAAAGCCAGAAAGAGTACAGGACCTGAGAGAACATTACTCTATTCAGGCTTTCTCTATTTTATCAAGCATTTTAATTTTAACGTCTGTTTTTGCAAGCCACACGGTAATAGTTTCATTGTAAATTCAGCCCGAATATAATTTAATTTTTGCTTCTGTATATATTGTAATCGAGATTATTTCCATTGTCTGCTGTTCCACGTTAAATCGCAAAAGCCGTAAAAAATATTACAATGAAAATACAAAAGAAGGGGATATGCGAAAGATGTGCGAGTATCTTTCATGCATTTTAATTTATTCACAAAATTAATTATTTTTTTGTTAAGCGTTAATAAAATATACCGTATTCTTTATTCAGCTGATAGAATGGGGATTCGTTTTTATTACGTTCCTTGTAAAAAAAAAAAAACGAGCAGCTCGCAACGAAAGTTTGTTTTAAGCGTGGGTAGAGCTTGAATTGAGATTTTTGATTGAATTTCGTTTCGCATACCAATTTACTCGATACATGCATGCATGCGCATATGTTTCTTTATTATCGCATCCGCAACGTAATGCGTAATGCCTGTCGGATAAACTCACGGCTTTTACATCTCGTTGATTGAACCAATCGTTCAAATCAATTATGCTAATCCTACGGAAAAAAAAGGGGACTAATTTCAGC